GACTGATCTAGCTACAATCCGATTAGCTAATTTGGTTCAGACAGCTGTTGGTCACTGATTGGTCCGTCACCCGGCTTCTCTGGCCCCAATCTTGTCCTCATTTCTGGGCAAGTGATAACATACTGTCTGCTTCCCAAATCCTCGATCTACTCCTCTGATACTGCCCAGGTGAAAGCATGTTGTCTGACCACCGAACCAGGGCGCTTATAGACGTGTCTCCTGCAACCCTTATGGACCCATAGGCAGAAACATGATTAGAAGTACGTAAATTGCCCAGCTACAAAAAGCTGTGGTGCGTTCACAAATTGTGAGGCTTTTCAAATGGGATTCTCTGAAGAAACCAATAAGAATGGTTCATCAATGTCCCTGGAAGACAAAGCCGCAATAAAAACAGTTCGAAGTTCGGTAACTGTCATAGGGGGCAGTACCAAATTTAGCTACTCTGGAAACGAAACTGACGCGAGATCCCGCAAAACAAATCATTGACCGAGAAACATCTATGCCGTCTTCGGATACGACTGTGGAAGAATCCCGAACTCCTCATTCCGTTACTAGTATAATGGTGCGCCTGGGAATGAATGCAAGCAAGAAGCGGCATTAAACGCGGCAGGCTCTAGGCATCACCGCACCGACAGAGATACAGCCACTAATAATTCCGACTTCCAGTTGAACCATACCACCTGACTGAACTCACCAACGGGTTCATCCCATCCTTTAATGGCTCAGCCAGTTTTTGTAGTAAACGTTTTGATGGAAGGAGTGACAAGCAGACGAATCCAAGGGTATCGTGTAATGAAGCCGTACAAGAAAGGACGCTTCTTGTGACCGGGCAGTTTGCAAGATTCACTTTGAAAGTAAAGCAATCGTTTTCCACACCAGTATAATTCAAGGTTTTTTATATCAGTGAGTCGGTGGGATTCATGCTGACCAACGCGAAGGCCCCTTCACTCGGTTGTATATTTTTCAGTGCTGATTCGTTGTTGCACACTCATTTATGAAGTCGAAACCCTCCGCGCATCTGTAGGCTTCGGAGCTGTTCAGCTGGCGTTATGGCTTCATCAGCACGTCCAACGAACACCACGTAGAAATTATCTTTTATAGCGTTCAGTATTTTCTGACCAAGCTGATTATGATAGTCATTCGCAACCTGCCTCAGTACAAACGCTGCACAAAACAGTTAGGATGTTGCCCCAAACGGATGTACCTTCAACTGATGTGGTTTGGGTGGAGAATCAAGATGTTCAGATGGATACGGGAGAAAACTCGACTGCCCCATCTTCTGCAGTTAGGCGAACTCGTAGAAACATTTCTTCAACCCGCATCGACAAGGCTATTTTGTGCAACCGGAATCGCATAAGCGCTCCCGTCAAGTCATTGATCAATACCGGCCGGTAGTAAAAGCAATAGTTTAAACAGAAGCCGCCGACCTTGGCGGCAAAGTCAAAAATGACACTGACTTTTCCGGATTTACGTGAATTTATAACGGATTAATGAGGAGTAAATCGCAGTCCACCGATATTATGTTCAGAGACTTGTTCGATATATTCCTTCTGTTCACAGTTCACCATTGTACTAGTCAACACACTGAGGAGTTCGGGATTCTTCCACAGTCGTATCCGAAGACGGCATAGATGTTTCTCGGTCAATGATTTGTTTTGCGGGATCTCGCGTCAGTTTCGTTTCCAGAGTAGCTAAATTTGGTACTGCCCCCTATGACAGTTACCGAACTTCGAACTGTTTTTATTGCGGCTTCGTCTTCCAGGGACATTGATGAACCATTCTTATTGGTTTCTTCAGAGAATCCCATTTGAAAAGCTTCACGACTTATGAACGGACCTCTAAATGTTGATTTGATAAGTGTGATGGTGGTACAGATTCCAACGGATCAGAATTTCGTCCGGTGAGTTTTTCTCCCCAAAACGCCTCGTCGATCGGAGTCTCCCGTACTGGTATTCGGTATCATGTTTTAATCTACGACTAGCAGGCATTGAGTTTGATAATTTTCCGTGCTGTCTTCAGGGAAGGATGGCTCATAAAAGAAATAACTCACAACGCGGTTTTATCACCAGGTCACACAGCTTATTCTGAGTGTCTCAGGCGACTGAAACAGTGTAGCACAAATTGCAGGGGCGTTGGTGCGCCTCACACAAAACACAGAAGGCACAGGGTCTCATAGGCACACAACACAAAAACCACGATACCTGTGGCTTCTCGGTGTGATGATGCAGCTGATGACTTTGCTGGAAACTTGTAGACTCATAATTATCCAACGGTATGGTCCTTGGCTAGGTACTAACTCACACAGAGCACAAACTTCGATCAAACTACCCCATTCTCCAGCTGGAGAAAAAGCCGGAAACAACTCAATGTCACGCGGGCACTGGTAATGAAGAGCACAAGTCAGTACGTCGTTAGCTCTACCGCTTATGCAGTCCGTTTGGACGACCTTGGGAAAGCTGTAAATTGACCAGCCAAAAACGCGCAAATTCAATGGGAAAACTGCGGTGGAAGAAATATAAGACATACAACGACAGTCAAAGAAAATCTAGATTCAATTCAAAAATTGAAGAATTGAATTACTCGGTAAACAACATTTCAGTTGGAATCTGTGCGTACGGGAAAGTATCTTTTCCTAATTATGAGGTCACTCGAACAGACACAGAAACAGTAAGGTAAACCACTGGTATGAGTTTGAGGTAGGTGAGACACTGGAAGAATGTAATTGCCTTTCACATATCCTGTCGTGAGCTGGCAGTTTATATGCATATTCCGGGTAATGCATATCTCAACTGTGAAAGTCTATCAACCAAGAATTTTCAGACCTAATGTTCGATCAAACGACACGTGTTGTATTGTACGCTTAACCCCATTCCGGAGTGTTTCACGTGCCCAATACAAACGAGTTAGTTTAACTGGGTCAAAAGTGACTACATGGCCAAAATCTCCGTTTCTCTCACTCTCTCTGCATGTGAGCGAGTTAATATACCAATTTTATGCCTGTTAGAAAAGGATGGACCCGATTTCAGCGTTCAACTGTATAACACCATTCATATAATAGTAACTTTTTAGTAGCCATTTTTGGAGAGTTGCTCCAGTATTTCACCCTTCTTGGCTTTGAGCCTTCATTTGCAATTGCCATGTTAAGATAAATTCACATAACGATATTAATCGGGCAGTGTTCATTGATGTTTTCACTTATGTTGGGTTTATATTTTTTTCCCAGCCTGTAATGTATAAGTGACTCACGTTTTTCACCAACAGCTGCTATGCTGTGTTTGTTCGATTATTGATGGAACTATCAATTCAGTTCTATCAGCAAATAACATTGCGCTTGTGCTGTGATTTTGGTTGCCGCGTCGCAGAATCATCAAACCGGAAACCTGAATTAGAGAGCTACTCGAAAAAGGAAGTTTTGAAGAAAATTCATCTGGGCGAGTAGAGCCCGATCTTCTCAGGATCAGTCACTGCGCAGGCTGCTCAGATCAGTCTCTACACCTCATAACCGTTTCTGTCAACACGCGTGCAGCATAATGGAGAATCTGCTTACATTTTTCACGTCCAACAGTTCACGCTGTGAGTCTGGATTGCACTGTCAACCTTCAGCATATCGGGAAGCCACTCTGCTAGCTGAATTGTCCCGGTACGAGTCGTCGGAAGCGAATAACACAAGTGAATATCCCATGATGTGTAACCAGCATGAAAACTGGTCTCATCACAGATTCTTCTATTCTGTGCTTGCCACGAATTCAGCTAGATATGCATACGTCGTGACCTTCAGGACCCGCTGCTCTACCAAACAGCCGGAAATCATGACTCCTAAACTTGAATTGGTCAAGAACCGCATAGGTGATCCCAACAGATCAGGTGTGGTAATGAGTTGGGTGACAGCGATTTACTGTCTACCACCAATGTGACTGGTGATAGGGGGTTTCGGTTTGTATATCTCAGCAATGACTATCACTGGCAAGTGTGAAGCTATTTCCATATGCACCCAAAGTGACACACAGTACGGCAGGTTTTCATTAAACTGCATCGCATGACCGGTGGTGGTCGAGTGGTTTGGAGCGTTTGTTTACCACCTCAGAGGTCCGAGGTTCGAGTCCCCGTCATCACCGGTTACTTTGTTGGTAGACAGTGACCCACTGTCTTCCGTGTCGTTACCAAACCTGACCTGTTGGGACCTTATGTGGTTCTTCGCCACTCCAAGTCTCAAGATCCGGTTACCGGTTATCTCCAGTAGAGTAGTGGGCCCTCGTGGCTATGGAGTAAAGACCACTTCCACTGCACTCATGCGCAAGCGTGTAAATAAAAAGCTATACCTTCCCACGAAGCGCGGAATTATATGCTACCGGGTATGTACTCAGGTCGCGGATAGAGGGACGGCTGCAGTTTTCATTGCTAACCGTGAGTAGGGTGAAATCACCAAATAAGTAATTGTGGACGATCAGCGACAATGCTCGAGGAGGTGCTGGGATTTTAGCTTGATTGGCGTTCTCCGCTCTAAAATGCCATAAATCTGCTTACAGTACTATAACGTGGCAAGTGTGGCCCGCCACTAAATAAAGCCATAATTCCTTGTCGTGTTCCGACAGGGTTTCCAGGAGATATAGATAAACCATGCAGTTTGTCACCGGTTCATCTGGACCAACGCTGCTACCTTGTAGGAAGCGCACGACTGCGCAAAGGCTGGAGGTGCATCCTTGAATGAAAAGGCCTACTCTGGACTGGGTGATCGAGTAGTACAACAGCGCACAACGCAAATGACCATGGAAGATACCAGTGATACGCAGATTGACCTTAATGTGCACCATCGCCGATTTTTGTAATTATTGGTATTGCGTTGGCACCAGGCTTGATTTTGAGCTGGTATAAGAATAATGATGTACTCGTTCATATTTAAAATGAATATGGTAGTCAAATTCTCAGTGACATTTTTTCCACCTGCTTTCGTCTGGTACCCTTCCTTTAAAAACGGGGGTCTTCTCGTATTCTTTGTCCAGCTACTGGTCCATTGACTGTAGCGGTGGCAGCATTTGATGCTGCGCTCCCCGACCAACCTCTCCCTGTACCTGTTGAGAATGCAGACAGTTCGGAATCTGAAGATCCGGGGGAGTTCTTCGATCATTACCTCACTGGAGACGAGGTGGGTTCATCGGATTCGGATGACAGTGTCAGAAACACAAGCGAGTCGGTAATCACCATTCACCAAGTGGGCACCCTGGTTCGCGACAAAGAACGTGAGTCACTGACTAGCTATGCATTGTACCAATTATTCAATCGCACTGAGCAGATTTTCTTGTATCGGAATTCAGTTGATGGAGCCCATTTTGAAGAAATAGTTTTTTAAGAACTGAGCAACCAGAAGTGTTTCCCTCATCACTCCTTTTTTCATCACGTTGGACTATAACTAGATTCCTGTTTGCTCATTTAATTTGTGGTTGTTATCATTTTCCATTCTGGAAGTTGCTCGTCTGGACTGACCTTTGTTTCTGCACTTTGTTAACTTTGCTTCAAAAGTAATCCTAGAATATACCAACCTCGTTTGAGAATAACGAAATCGACCTATGTTCAGTGAGAATATTGACTTGGGATACGCAAGTGACGAGGTTTCTCTGAGTGGAGACCCACTTAAGAACCCTAGCCTACGTACCACATCCATTACATTATATATATATATATATATATATATATATATATATATATATATATATATATATATATATAGTGTGAAGAATTTAAGTGAAGTGTTATTAACTTGCTAGTGTTATCTACTCTGATTTTTCACTGTATTCCTCTTAATCAGGGCTCATGGAACTTTCCGATTGCTACGTTATGCATTTGGAAACAACACTGTACGACTTATGCCTACGAAGACTGCGTGCTTTGGGCCCATCTAAAACGACCTTACTATCATTACCAACGAAAATTGTGTGAGTTTTCCAATTTTATCATATTTCGGACGTAGAACTCCGTTTTTTTGTTTTTGTATGTTTCAGATCGCTGTTGGCAACAAATAGTTTGTTCTAGCTCAATGAATTTGGTCGTCAAGGTTTTCCCTCAAGTTGCCGATAGTTCTCAACACAGTGCGGAAAGGATGACCAGAATTACAATATTGCAGAATTTATGTATGATGTTTCACCGCATATAGAAATGGTTTCTTCTGCAGTACAGCATATTCCCTAACTGGCGTTGTGAAAAGCAACGATGCCCTAAAATGCAAACATAAGGTAAAAGCGTATTGACCTCAGGATGAGATGTATCAGTTGAAATCAGTTCTTTCTGTCGATACGATGATCATTGATATACGAAAATGCCTACTGAAACAATTCCAAGTAGTCAAGTCTTAGATTTGATTTTTGATCGAAACCAATATTTGTGCAATCATACTTCTTCCGCTTTATCACGTAGTGCGTAAGTTCAATAAACCGCTCGGATAGCCTTGTGGCTGAACTGTTTGACCCACAGTCGTTCACTCCGGGTTCGAGTCCCCGTGAGGGCTCGGTGTGTGTGCACTGCTGATGATTCCTAACGGGAATGAAACAGCTATAGACTGATGGTTTCCAACAGCGAGTTAAGCGGCTACACTGTATAGTATAGTATAGTATAGTATAGTATAGTATAGTATAGTATAGTATAGTATAGTATAGTATAGTATAGTATAGTATAGTATAGTATAGTATAGTATAGTATAGTATAGTATAGTATAGTATAGTATAGTATAGTATAGTATAGTATAGTATAGTATAGTATAGTATAGTATAGTATAGTATAGTATAGTATAGTATAGTATAGTATAGTATAGTATAGTATAGTATAGTATAGTATAGTATAGTATAGTATAGCATAGTATAGTATAGTATAGTATAGTATAGTATAGTATAGTATAGTATAGTATAGTATAGTATAGTATAGTATAGTATAGTATAGTATAGTATAGTATAGTATAGTATAGTATAGTATAGTATAGTATAGTATAGTATAGTATAGTATAGTATAGTATAGTATAGTATAGTATAGTATAGTATAGTATAGTATAGTATAGTATAGTATAGTATAGTATAGTATAGTATAGTATGGTATAGTATAGTATAGTATAGTATAGTATAGTATAGTATAGTATAGTATAGTATAGTATAGTATAGTATAGTATAGTATAGTATAGTATAGTATAGTATAGTATAGTATAGTATAGTATAGTATAGTATAGTATAGTATAGTATAGTATAGTATAGTATAGTATAGTATAGTATAGTTAGTATAGTATAGTGTAGTATAGTATAGTGTAGTATAGTATAGTATAGTATAGTATAGTGTAGTATAGTGTAGTGTAGTGTAGTATAGTATAGTATAGTATAGTATAGTATAGTGTAGTATAGTATAGTATAGTGTAGTATAGTATAGTGTAGTATAGTATAGTATAGTATATAGTATAGTATAGTATAGTATAGTATAGTATAGTATATTATAGTATAGTATAGTATAGTATAGTATATTATAGTATAGTATAGTATAGTATAGTATAGTATAGTGTAGTATAGTATAGTATAGTATAGTATAGTATAGTGTAGTGTAGTATAGTGTAGTATAGTATAGTATAGTATAGTATAGTATAGTATAGTATAGTATAGTATAGTGTAGTGTAGTATAGTATAGTATAGTGTAGTATAGCATAGTGTAGTGTAGTATAGTATAGTATAGTATAGTATAGTATAGTATAGTATAGTATAGTATAGTATAGTGTAGTGTAGTGTAGTGTAGTGTAGTATAGTATAGTGTAGTGTAGTGTAGTGTAGTGTAGTGTAGTATAGTATAGTATAGTATAGTATAGTATAGTATAGTATAGTATAGTATAGTATAGTATAGTATAGTATAGTATAGTATAGTATAGTATAGTATATAGTATAGTATAGTATAGTATAGTACAGTACAGTACAGTATAGTATAGTATAGTATAGTATTGTATAGTATAGTATATATACTTGTTACCGATTGGTATCCGGGTAGTCCGTCGACGGTTTGCATCAAGATTCCACACTGTTACTCCTTCTACGTTCGAATTTATGTGTACTAAACATTCATTATTAGATTTTTTCAGTTCGTTACTGCAGTGGCAATCTTCTTGGTGTTATTAGGCTGCTTACTTGACCGAATTCTGGTTCCGCGCATTTTTCCGTTCCCCAGATCCACTTTAAGCTACCAATCAAACGCCTGTTTTTCCAACTTTTTTTCCAGACATGACCTGAAACGTCTATATTACGATCCGTTTGGAGCAGAGAATTGTGGGCGAAAGTCAACTTCAGGCTAATGGACACGCTCAGTAGATCCAGTCTTGACCCCTGCCATGGTTTGTCCAGTTCCTATTCCCAAAAGACTTTAAGATCTCCCCATATATCCTGTAGTTCGGTCCTTCAAAGCTCTTCTGCTTTCACATTATAAAAATACCATCTTGACTTCAGATTTTACGAGCGAGCGTGTCTTGTTTAAGCCAAGAACGATTTAATGGGACTGTTCACAAATTGCTGTTACAATAAGGCAGGTACTCAAACAGCATAAAACGCATGTTCATGCCATACCTTGACTTCTCAGTTTTCTTCATTTCACACTCACGCAACGGTGCATCACACATCCACGAAACCAGAGGAGAGAAAACCAGAATTCAGTAAGCCCTGCGTGGTATCGATCCAGATAACAGGGGAATACATTCTGTGTTGGGGAGATAGACTGGTGGACATTCATACAAAAACCAGCCTATTCAGTGGTTCGCCATCAAGGCTAGAACCGTTACGCATAGGATTCGGTAAAGGATATTAGGAAACAAATGATCGAGAAGAACTGAGGAGGTTGTGAAATTCAGTGCAGTGGACTCTGAGGTGAAGGCTGAGCAGTTGAAGTTTGGATTTAACAGGAACGGCAGTGTGGTAATTTTTACGGCACTGAAAGACACGCAATTGTTTAAGCTCATGTCAAGAGTCCGAATAAGGTTGGAATTTAGTGACCCAGGCATCGGGGTGATCGCAGATGTTAGTTGTTGCGATGTGACACATCTAGTAGGACAGAGAGTAAGGGATTTCATTGCTGTGTGCAACAGCGTGGATAAGATTGGAAGTGGTGGCGTGCAGGTTAATTATGAGAATTTGGAACAGTGTGTAGGAGGGTGTTAAATATCTGAGACTCCAGTAATCACCCGGTGTACGTTTGACTGGGTCCCTACCGGCTTGGCTTGCAATGGAACGTCCGCTGAAGAAGCTTGGGGTCCAATAAATGAGTTCTGGTGAGAATGCAAACCCACGGACGTCCGTGCCATACTCGAGTGAAGGCTTCGTAGCTGTCCAACGACACCGAATGTGGTGTGCCATGGTTGTCCATGTTACACTACAAAATGACACTCACTAAGGGTCGACAACAATTTGTTAACGATAGTATGCCACACTGCGAGAGCGCAAAACCAAGTAAACACACGGTACAGAACACATGGAGCAGAGCCAGGTAGGCACACAGCACGGAATACGGACGATGAATGGTACCTGCAATTTCGTAAGGTAATGACACAACTGATTACTTGGGTTGGCTTCCTAGACCCTTAATCGCGCAACTAAATGGCCTTCGGCTGGCTAACAACTCGGACACAAGGCGCGATTTTCAATAGTGCTAGCTAGAGAGAGAAATCAGAAAAAAACGGTGTAACGCGTTTATTGATGGACCAACACAAGTCAAACGGAAGCATCAGCATTGCCGTTTATAAAGTCGGTCTGGGTAGCCTTGCAAAAAACGCGTTGACCAATCAGCGAAACTAAAAAGGCATTGGCGAAATAACAGTTGGAGGGTAACATGAGAATATACAACGGCGGGGAAAAAAATCAAATTTAGTGGACAAATAGGAAAATGAATTATTCAAAAATTAGAGTTTTACGGAAAGGTGATGTTTTGGTCGAAATTTCTGGACCCAAACGTGGAAAGTACCTTTATGTTTGTTAATCTTATACCTGTGATCATACACGTGCTCCAGATGCGTTTCCCATCTAGCGACCGACTCCCGGCGAACCTTTGACGTTATCTTGAATTACGGCCACGATAAACTCGACCGGGTAGATCAAGAGATAACCACAATGGGGTTTCTGAACGTGCTCATTTGGCGGCATTCTTGTAAGCAGATTGCATTTTGCAAAGGACCGTGCATTTGTACGGGAGCCGGTTGAATTGACCGACAGTCTCCAACCCTGTTGTAACATAAACCTCTTAGGTGAGGATGATGTGTCATAGTGAGATATGACGTTCACTTAGTCATTGCGGTAATTAACAGTCGAAAAGACGAAGAAACAGGAAAGCAATTTCGTCGACATCTTTGGTAGTGATTGTCGATTTATGAATTCAAGCTAGAAATGCAATTGTGCCATAAGGTTGTTATGTATATTTGGGTTACGGGTCTAGATATGGGATCCGTCATCTGCACGATAACGGCCAAATTTTTTCCCGCGGTTTGCTTTTCCCAACAAATATTTGAAAGGCCCGCGGACTCGGCCAGTATGGAACTTGCAAATATATCCGATATCGGTTAATGTGATCCTGCCGTAATCGGTGTTCCGATTGCAACGATTTGGTGGGTCTCACGGTCTGCCATCCATGCAAACAATCGAGAATATCAGACAATAGAAGGGAGTTTTTTTGTGAGTTCGGTCGTTCTTCGAGAAGCTCGAATCTGATATTTGACGGAGAATTGATATGCTATGACCTTTGTGAATCAATAGTTTGTGCTGCAAAATGTTGACTTGTTGGAACATTCATAAATGTCCCGTGTGGATCCGAAAAAAATCACACGGTGACTTATGAATTGGATCGTGAAGAATAATGTGGCATGCATAGAAAACAGTGGAGTTTGTGACCTGTTTCTACTGATCGACTAGACAACAAGCTTGGTTTCGCGTACCAAAGGCGCATCGTGTACGCAACTCAGGCGACCGCCTTGGTGCTGGTTTCTGCCGAATGTAGTGCACGAAATGCTATTAGTTCTAACGGTTTTCTGCGATTACCTTTGAAATAAACAACTTAGCTGGACCGAATTCGGCATTCTGATGTACCAACCCACTAACACATCGAATATGCACACGGATTTTAGGCATGAAAAAATAAATCGGTTTATTCCGCAAAAAGTACCTCAGAGAGGCGAAGTGCTGCTAAATCCACCAATGGATGAATGGCAAAAACACCGAACTGGTTTGCAAACTCATTAACCTTATCCATGAATGATTCATTTCCGATACTCAGGAATGTGTTAAGGAGCATTGTTCACGTTACTTTTTCACGAACAATGTTTACTCAAGCTATACATTGTGATTTCTAGTGGCGACATCACACTTATCAGAACAGGGAGTTGGCACGAGATCCAAGACTTTCTGAGATGGGATAAGGAAAAACCATTGGCGGTTTTGGAAGGCGGAAAATCTCAGCCAGTAGTTCTAGGGGGCAAACAGATGGCTGACTCTCATCAGAACACCAAATGAAGTTTTGCTCCCGATGAACCCGGAAAGTGGGTTGAGCACTTTTGTGTTTGGTTGAAGTCATGCATACTACGTGGACAACCATTCAGTATCCCTTTCCTGCATGAACAAACGTTTGTTTGGTATTGACCTTTGGTAATGCTTCAGCGCGCGCAGTATTGGCTTGTGTATTTGTCAGCCTTTTTTGCGCATGACAACACGTAATCTAGCTCTTTTGCTTACTTGCCGTCTACTGTCGAGCTTTATGTTTAAGCTCGTACAAGTTAATGTAGTGTCAACACTGTGTTCTACTGCTAACTACGAACACAACAACTACCGTGATATTTCAACGTGAGATCGGAGACATACACACGGCCAACCTCACCGGAATGTGATTAGTTTAGCGGAACGTTAAGACTTGGACTGGGCCGATCACAGTTCAGACTTGAACCCGGTCAAGATGTTTGGGGTCTGTTGGCGAGGCGAGCACACACGGCTATAAGTGTCTTCGGCGCTTTGCTCGAGCTGATGTCTGCTGTTCTCGATTAATGGCACAGCACAGAACTTTTGACCATCCAGAATATGATTGGAAGTATATTCGAACGTAGTGTTTCAGTCATTAACAATCAAGACCATTGTTTTTTAACTAGCTGGTTGTTTCCTCATCATTGCAGAGGTGGTTTGAGTTGCATTGTATTCCCTCTGAGGTATTTTTTCCGGGGTGAACTGATTCACCTGTTATATGTCTAAAAAGCACGTGCGTATTTGATATAGTATTGGGTTGACACACCAGAATGTCAAGCAGCGTTCACGTAAGCGGTTTGGTTCAAAATTGATCACAGAATCACTGGGTTCACTAGCACTTCGAGAAATATGGTGTCTTTTCGATTCTGCTGTGGAGTTCTGCTCTAATTCAGAATGCGAATGGTAATGTCTACAGCTGCTAGTACGTATGCACGATGGAATCCACTTCCCCGGTTGGCAGCATCTAATTGGTCCCCACCCTTTTCCTGAAATATTGTACTTTTTCTATTCAACAAATAACGAATGTAAGTAAAACAATATTGACACCAGCAGTCTTCGAGCTCTTCCAGGGCATAGATGTAAGACGGAATTGGGCCGTCAGGATCGCCTATCAGAGCAAGACCGGAATCTCCATCGTCAACCTGGTGATATTCTAGGATATGGTGCGGATACTGAGCTTGAGAGGATGAAAGAAAATTCCGCTCAAACCCTCCGTACAAATTCATGGGTCCTGTCCCTTAGAATGATTGAAAACCAAGCAACCGACGAACGTAGCGACATTTTCAGTGACTGAGGATCCCGTCTACATCCCTCTGCCTGGAACGCTTGTCACAGTTGAAACAAACGAGCTACCTGGAAGAAAAAATATAGGCTCAAAAACGAAAGCTGATACAAATCGGCACGTGAGAGTTGCTTTTCGTGGCTTATTATTATTTATATCAGAATCGTTGTGAGCGAAGGGGAACATGCCCTGAAGAAGCCATGGAATTTTAAATGACTTTCAAAACGTGTAACAACACCGCGGATTCCGGTATGATGAAACTGAGTTGCATTTTTGTACCTCTTACGAACATCAGAAGTCCTGTCACGGAATACGTGATGACGGGGCGGTTTGCATCAAACAAAATGACGAAATGAGTGGTACGATTAAGTTCACTGTCCTCCAAAGAGAAGAAAATGAAACAGAACAAAACCTACCACTTCTTACCCAATAAAATAGCGACTGTATACGCGTGCATTCTGAATTTCGAGGACCGAATACACTCATCCTTTGGTGACCTTTACAACATCGCTTTCAATTACCTTATGATTCCGGTCAAATTGGTCCATCTTATTGAAACTACGGAGTATGCAGTTCGTTTGTTCCACGTGCCACGCCGTTTACCTTCCGGAGGAGCTATATCCTTGAGGAAATGTGTTTTTGTTATGATTAGCTTATAAAAGTGCAAAGTGCCCGTGATTTGTATTCTGCAAAATGCTGAGGGTAGTCTCCTTTAGTGGTGCGTTACTTTGTTTTCCAAGCGATAGGGCTCGGTTTGGGCTTGGTGAAAAGGGTCGGTGGTGATCAAATGGTTGTCATGATAGGATTTTTTCTGTCCCATGTTGAAACCCTCCTACAGCTGCCGGTTTCCTCCCAAATGGGCAGCCTTTAATTGGCTGCGACCTCCCCCCCCCCGGAAATAGTACACTAATATATAGTAATTAAATAAAAAATTACAACAAGTTGGGGCACGAGTTTTTGGAGAAGACTTCTATGACCGTGATCGATCACGAGCTAGGATCAGCGAATCACCGATCTTCATATAATCGCGGATGTAGGTTTTCCTTATTAACCCAGGGAAGACAAAGGACTTAATTTTGTAACGGTGACCAAAAGCAACACGCAAAAAACTTTATCTCTATCCAACAAACTTCACCTGAATATGAATAACATTTTCATTCGTAAGCAGACTCATGAAGAAATTCCAAAAGGGTGGGACCCGTTGAACATTCGAGATGCATCGTAAAGTATTGCACCCAAAATTACCAAGCATCAAAGTCCGACCAACTTTCTCATAAAAACCTGTTAGCTTATCTTCCCCGCGGTCGTCGACATTCTTGGTATTATATCGTGTATGATTCTCGTCACACAAAATGGTGCCGTCAGTAGAGTCCCCCATTCGCGTCCTCACCTTTTTGTATTCGAAATTCCCTTTCATACATATCACAGTTCAGTTCAGAAAATCATTAATCAAGCACTGTGTGCGGTAGCTTTGTTTGCTATCGCTTGGCAACAGCCTCATTTGGAAACAATGAGAAAGGATAGGAATATTGAAGAAATATATCGTTCGTCAGTGCACAGTTTGTGGCATGAACTGAAAGTTAGGCGACTTGAAGCAACAACGAGAACTACGTCCACTTTTAATACAGGATAATTCAATTTGAAGCCGTCGGGAATTTCTGGCTGTCATAGAGGACGACATCCGAACAAGGTTAACATGGTGATTCGGATCAGCTCGGATGCGAGCGGGGTGGCGCGGTGGTAACACACACGCCTTCGAGAAGGGAGGGCCCTGGTTTAAACCCTGGGTGTGGCGGAGGATATGCACCACTGATGAGCTCTAACAAGAGCGAAACTCGAGTCTGGTGCTTCCGAGTGCAGGTTGGTCGTATAACTTGAGGTTTGTGCGTGAAACGTGGAGTCCAAAGGACAGTCAACCAAACAAATAATTCAATTAGGTTGATTTCCTGGGGCTATTAGACTTTCAGAGTTTAGAGTTCATTTTGACGGCCTGACGCCCGCCTCCCAAACAGTCTTCTTGCTTGATATCCCACTCTAAACGGCACACCTGAAATGTTCTGGATGCAATTCTCTATTATGAAAGGAAACGCGAACTAAGTGATTATTTCATCTATATTGGAAAAGGTATTTGCATTTTTCGAGGTGGACTGGGGGGGGGAGGGGTGTGGTGGTAGACATACGATGGAGTTGTAGCTGCCAGATTATTTTCGAAATTCTGTCCTAAAAAGTGCCCATAAAAGCTCTCATAGAAAGCTACCAATGCCGTCTCCAAAAGACTTCAGAGCAGAGCGATGTACATGACCTCAAAAAAAACTCGCATCACTACCGTTTTACTTGCAATATCATTACTTGCCTGACTCGTCCTGTTATGTTCTCAGGAAACAGGACATTTTTTATTTTAGCAAAACAGACATTCTCAGTGCGGCTTAAACTCCGTATACCTGCCAGCCGTGGTGGTTAAGTGACCATCATGGTGGGGTCGAAGCTCTTCTTTCCCCGGGTTTGAATCCCGCTTCTGCCACCGGTCCACGCAGTCGGTAGCGTCTGGTTGGTCACGACTCCTTTCTTCAAATTCTGTACTACTGTTAGATAGTGAAAAGGAAATAAATAAGATAAAAGGGTGGAAGCCATTATTACAATGTCATATTTTCACTAGGAGGCTATTCGGGTAAAAGCGGGAATGAGTGAATGAGTGAGCATGCGTTAGACTGAGGTTTACCTCAAGATTTTGTTGATGGCATAAGGTATAGGAATGATTTCGGCGAAGATGAATTCAGCCCAAGCAGCTAGGCGGAACCGAACCGGTAAACATTCGCTCACTGAACAATTGCTCTGCCAACTGAGCTGTAGTGATACAATTAATCCTGCACTGTACTGGTTTCTCGCGTCATGAAGAAAAAAATTAAATAGTTATCAGAAATGTCCTTTGGATCCCTTTCCGCTGTGTACTGGTGATCTCTTTGGGGGGTAACTGACAAGGCCACCTCGGTAACTAAAGGCAGAACAGTTGCTGTGCTTCATAGAAATAGTGGTTCACCCATCAGTAGACGCTCACTTGCGTTATTCTCACGCGAATGGCCCTGCCGCCACAACTCAGCTGGTAGATCAAATGCCCGGCGAACAAAAGACTGGGATTTGTTGCGACAAGTGATTGGTTAATTGTGGTGGTTCTGTCAAGTCTTCGGATTTCCTCAATAATCTAGTTGCAGAAGTAGTTGGTTGGCAAATTAAATAAGGGATTGATCATGTAAGTTTGTACACGTGTTTCTCCGCGATCAAAAGACCGGGTGTAAGTGTTTGTGAAATTTCGATATAAAGCCAATGATCGTACGTCTGGTCGGATGAGTATTTGCATGAATTTACTGTACTTCGTGGGTTGTGCAACTTAAAACTACCAAAAAAAGATTATCATTGACTAAATTTACCCTGGTTTGCTAGCCAGGCTTTGGAAAATCATTTGCGGTTTTAAATTTTTTCAGTCGAGCACTCCGTACATGGACGAATTCTATAGATTGACTGTCTCTGTGGTGGTATTTAACCTCAAATCATTTCCATTGCAGTGTACTGTGAACTGTATATGATTTTCTGACACAGAGCTATAGTCCTCTTTAGTTTCCTATTTTCTCTAATTAAGGAATTGTTCTTTTAGTGGAAGGTCATCATTCTGGCTCATCTGACGGTAGTTTGATTAGAAAATGAGCGATTTAGCCGAAACTTAAAATGAATCTAGTGAAAAAGTTGACGAGTGCGCATTCATATGTGTGTTACGGTTGCTGAGTGAAATGGCAAACAAAAGTAAAACTGAGCATTACTCGTTAAATGAAGTCACTCGAACCGTGTGTGTGTTTGTTTGGTCCGTTTGTGTGTTAAAATGCACGTGGTAGACGGCGGCTGGTCGATACCTTGCTAACCAATGAGAAGGATGGTAGGAAACGGTACTGCAATCTTTTATAAGTGACACACGTTGGCCTAGTGCGTTCACCAACCGAACAACGCGCAATGTCATGCCTATTTGGGGTACTGGAACAAAAAAAAATCCATACAACGGACTACGTAAACGGTCGTTCGCTAGACCACCTTTTTAAGGCTGAAAATGACGCAAAATGACAGTAGTAACGAAAACACAACGACAGCAACAACAACAGCAAAAACAACAACAACAACACTGGGTATAATTCATTTCAACGATGTTTACAATGTGGAAGAACAAAAATCGGAACCCTTTGCCGGAGCTGCACGTTTTCTTACCGCGATAAATCATTACAATGCTGGGAGTCGCAGTTTGGTTCTTTTCTCCGGCGATGCCCTCAGTCCGTCAATGATTAGCACAGTTACTCAAGGTCAACATATGCCCCATATTTTGAATGCCATGAACATCGGATGTGCAGTATTAGGGAATCATGATTTAGATTTCGGTTTGGATATACTCTGCGAATGTTTAGAACAGTGCAGCTTTCCATGGCTCAATAGTAATGTTTACGATCGAAATACGCAAGGTTTGTTGGCAAATACCGAAGCCTTCAAGGTGATCAACCACGATAATCTGACAATCGGAATAATTGGTCTGTTAGAAAAAGAATGGGTTGCCACGCTATCTTGTATCGACTCCAGTGATGTCTATGTGGCTGACATTTGTGAAGTTGGAAGGAGTTTAGCGAAAAAATTAAAAACCCCGTCTGCCGAGAATGAACAAAGACCGTGCGATTTGGTCATCGCTTTGACACACATGCGATGGCCCAATGATCGACTGATCGCACAAAATGTTCCTGAAATCGATTTAGTCCTCGGAGGCCACGACCACAACTATGGGGTTGAGTGGATTGACGGAAGCACCTCAGATGACCCACCACATCGAAGGGCTATCATCAAAAGTGGAAGCGATTTTCGCGAGTTCTCGTACATCCAAATACTTTGGGATCATCAGATACACGACGTGCAAGAAATCAGGGTCGAGCGAGTTCTCGTGAATGGACAATGGCAACCAGATCCGAATGTGAGTTCTTTCATGACCCTTGTTTGATAAAATAGGGACAGACTTTGTTTCTAACGGTTTAATCAACGTTGCAGATGTAGCTCTTTTGATTTTTTGTCTATTGGTTTTACATTAGGAGTTTTAAAAGTTAAGTGTAGATATAAATGCTGTAATAATAAAGGGAAGAAGAAATGCATTATATTGTTCAGAATAGAAAGTAGAATACATGCAAAATGTTTTGCTCGGTTGCATCAAGAGCGATATATAAATCTGTGAGGCACATTTTACTAACGAGTCAAAGACATTTCTACTAAGTTGTGAGTCGATCACCTTGAAAATATCCTCTTTTCAATTTGGTAGTATTATTCAAGATGAAATGTTCTTGCTCAAAATCTCAGTTATCAATCTTTCTGATGAAATCAGCATAGATGAATAGGTTACTCTTTGGTTTATGGCTAATTTCTAATTAAAGGCGTGGGAAAACGCCTGCTTTCTGAAAGAATAAAGCTTTGAGTGGAGAGACTTTTGCCCTTTGTCACAGCAATCAGTCAAAATTTGCGATCCATGATTTGTCTCGGACCTTTAATTACTGCCTTTCGGGCTGAAATGGTTTTACGCCTGTTGTACCACATGGTCACTGCATCACATCTTTTCAGTCACACTTGTGATTCGCACTGTAAACTAATTAGCTGAGCTATCGCATCACCGTGGTAATAGTGACAACGTGTACTATTGATGGATAATAGTAGCTAGTGCTAAATCAGTACCAACATTGTTTGACTATGATGAAGATTTGATGTAGCCAAATGGAAGTGAACATCAACAATGAGAAAAATGTGGTGTTTGTAAGTCTTTTAGCTCAATCAGGCTATGCTGACCGTATCGTCAAGATCCTGACTGATTGCTTTTGGGAACATTATTGTGCCTGATCTAACGAGAGTAAGAATGACCAAAATTGCTGCTGGTCTAGAAGACACAAAACACTCGCTTTTAAGCTCTCTGGGTGGGGTTCGGGATGCCTTTAAATTTAGCTCACTATCATCTACCGGGGGGGGGGGGGGGATTGCAATACAATTGATGAAAAACCATTCGAATCTTCGGAAACAGTCAAAACTGTGAACCTGCCCGGTAGTGCGTGATTTTTTTGATGACAAAAAATAAGGAATTTTCCCGGCTTACACTTCAGTCTCTCTGCAAGAACCTTGTAGATGTGCAAATGTGGAATTTTAGGTCTGAAAAGCACACGTTGTCTCTGGTTCTCAAATCAACACGGACGATCAATTCGTGATCAACACACAGTCATTTTATTCCTTTTCCATTCAACCCCAGTTGTTGTACTAATCGATGAGCGGGATAGACTGCTGACTGCGTAGCTCCGTGTGCAATGCTTCTCGTCACGTGGTACTCCAAGTATTAGCCCACTACCAAAAAAGGGACCTTCCGATAATACCTATAACAGAAACGATGTAGATGAATTTGACTCCTCCATCACAAATGGCGGCTATTCTGGGGTTGGGATAGTCCAAAATGGTAAAAAGCTGCTGAACTTGATGGATTGTTTCTATCAATTTTTGAAGATGAAGGCGAGGATTTGGTATCGGGATTGAAAAAAGCTCCCCGCGTAATCTGAGATTATGAGCAGATTCCTAAGAGACGGTGTGATTTAGTGGTTGTACTGATTTAAAAGAAAAATGGTAGGTTGTCTTGTGAAAATTACAGAGGAATTTTATTAGGAAGTACTGCATCCAAACTGCTAGCCTACATTATTTGCCACCGATTATTCAAGGGAGGGTGTGACTATCATGCCGGTTTCAGTTACTTTAGAGGTGGTGTCGATCACGCATTTACCCCTTGAAAAAGCTTAGAGCATAAGCAGATCTTCTGTATGCTCACCGTTCCCGCTTTCTTATGTAAGAAAACGGCCTTGGATTCAGTCGGTCTCACTGTTCTGCTGCTCTGCCTCTCACTGAAGTACTTGCCCGAGAAATTCATTTTTCTTTTTCAGTAATGGTATAAGAACAGCCCAAACCGAGCTCGCGATTGTGGAAATCTTGCTCCGGATTTCGCCACAAGAGGCAGTTTGCGTCTGAGTGCTTTCTAACATACTTCGGTTTTAACTTTGTAATTGCAGTGACCCTAGAGATAATCTTATCCTCGCGTAATAGTTGCAACTTTGATCTGTGATCAGGTAGTGGAATGGCGGACGCAGAATATGCGGATAATCTTTTGTGAGGATCCAGATAAATGGTAATTTTTCTAGATAACCAAAACGGCGGAGTAGCATTGCTTAGAATGCGTTCTGCACCTTCCAATTGCAAAATGCTACCACACTACTGAGTTTGCACCACACCAGACCCTGGTCTGATGGGATACGCCTCTCCTAATGAAAAGGAGTTCTGTTAGTTTTGTAGTTTTGTCACACCTCATGGTCGAGTATCGGATACAGTCTCGTCGATTATATAAGATATTTGCTTTTCTTTTGCCAGCTTGAATCACCTGTGGCGCTGGTGTGACACCTGATAGAAAGTCAGGTGCCGAGTTAGCATTGCCGTACAACTCAGAAACGTGGCCGTTACGGGTAGAACGTACGCGAAAATCGTTTGTGCTTGAGCATCAGCGGGTTCGCAGAGTTACTCGAATATGGTGAGAAAAAGGTATCAGCAGTGCTGAGGCTAGGCGTAAAGCATTTGGAGCTAGTGGTCATTCACTGGAACAAGTGCTCGAACTCAATAACTTAAGGTTATGCATGCCTACAAATATACCCCCTCCTTATGGGTTTTTCTTCTTGGCAGGTAGTGGTTAGAGAATGTGTCGAAGTGGCCGTTCCATGATATGGCAAAAGTTTGTAAATTTTGACCAGTGCTCTCGGCTAAGTAGGAAGTGTTGGGCTTCCGGGTTAGGACCTACGAGATAAGCCCATTCAGACGGTTAAAGACATCGTTACTTTGCTAGGAGCGGCGTTCTCTGGGGTAATTACATTAGAACTATTCCTTTGTTTTCATGACTTCCATTTATACTGTGCTTTACCGTTTATTTACTCTTCAAGCTTCTCGTTTTGTCCTGGACCGCAGGAAGCAGCGTGGCAAAAACCAAAACTAGGACAAGAAGTGTGATATTAATATCTGAATGAAATTAGGCTGAGCCATAAATAAGTTGTACTCCTGGAGCGTCTAAATTGAATGAGGATAAGTTATTACACTCATTGAACTATATGATTTCATAGTGAGGTATTCGATCGCCACAGCTCGTCAACGACCGTAAAATACACGTAGCAAAATGTGCACGAAAAAGACTTGAAAAATAGAGTAGTACGATTCTGCTTGACGTGTGTTAACTACAAAAAAGTTGTTTATTGAAAGTAGACTAATGCGATAATAGCAATATTTGCCGCAGTCAGCCTAATTCTTCCTTCTATTCCGATGATTCCAGCATGCTTGAGATGAAATTTCAGCATTGTCGAATACTGTGATCATTTGAATCAACTCAGTACTTTTCTAGATTATGAAAAACACTTCGAATTGCCTATTGCTTATCTTTTTGTGATGATATATATCCTAGTATAGTCTTTACCAATTACCCATAACGGTCGTTGTTTTTGACCTATGGATTCTGTGAACAATCTAATTGTACAGCACGATATCATGCAGATTGTAATGTTCTCGCCTACCCAGAAAACGTAACGTGAATTTAATAGCTGCAATAATTTTCAAATCACGATCTTGGTGTATGTATCAGTCAAGAGCAGTAACGACATTTTGTCTTGGTGTTCTCAACAGTGCTATGGTAAGTCTCCAATGAACCGATATACTTGTTGAGTCCATTGTAAAAACTGCGGAAAGAAATGATCGGTAGTATTATCTGGGATGTGTTTCCGGCATTTATGAAAGACAGAAACACAGATTGCACGATGTATCCTGGATCATTTCGCCGCATCTTTACAAAGTGCATACTGCAGTCGAAGTGATTATTTTCCTAGCAAAACAGTTGCATCACCAACCGAGCAAAGGTCAATCAGATCATCAATTGCTCGACATCTTTGCGACAGCCAGCACCAAACTATTAAGATATATGGAGGCTTAGTCGATCCGTGTGCACAAACCTGAACTGTGCAAACAACGCGAACTTGTAGTCAATTTATCATTGCCGTGGTAACGAAGTGTGATAAATGTAGTGTGGTTTTCCAATAGACATGTATGAATGTGTGCGTCGTGATTTTGCCTTTGTTTATAAACATTTCGTTCATTTATTTTGCTATGAAAATAATCACTTCGACTGCAGTATGCACTTTGTAAAGATACAGCGAAATGATCCAGGATACTTCGTGCAATCTGTGTTTTTGACTTCTGTTTTCACATTTGTAACGGGGAAAGGTTGTTTCTTATTTATGGAAGAATTAATTGATGTGCTTTTTTGGTTAATCACACACTGAATAGAAGGTTGACGAACAGTAAACTATGACTATCTAATTAACTATGAGTGACTTGTTCAGTCGTGCTGCTGGGGTACGTCAGGTTTATTCGCTCTTTTAGAGGCAGTACACTTTAAAGCCAGGTTGTCACGGCCGGTGAAACTGTGTGCTTACTAAAAGATTTCTTTTAGGTATATCAGGTAAACATTAGATGAGATGCCGTGTAGAAACAAGTGCGAATCTCATTTGAACGTCAGTCTCAGTTGAGATTCATTGGCGGACTCCTGAAAAACGAGTGTCCATTCTCACTGCTGAAGCACCCAAGTATACATTACCGACATCCGAGTGCAAAGTACCGAGGCATGGGGCCATGCAGAAAGAGAACCAAATGAATAAGTTACGGAATGTGGAAAGACATTTTTAGAATTTAGGACAAAACTTTTGCAATTTAACTGCCAACGTTTGCAGATTTAAACCACATCCGACGAGGTTTCCAACCAGGCTTTCTGTGGATGTCCAAGTTTCTGGCCGGGCAGGCGTGATGCACTGATGGAGACCATCTTAGGCGCCCATGTTCTTGCCGACAGGTGCCACCTCATGGAGTTCGAGCTGT